AGTCTTCGAAACAGCCACTGTTGTCAGAGAGAGGCAAGTAATTTGTACGATCTGAAGAACCAGAGTCAGAGAGAAAGAAGAAAAAGACTCATTTTCTTCAAAGGATGACTAAAAAAAACAAAAGGTGGGCGGGGAAGGGAGAATGTATCTCAAGACTGTGCTGAAAAGAATGTAAAGAATGTAAAGGGGGAGGGATGGATAAAGCTCAGGGCAGGAATTTACAATCAGGGATCCCATACTATGTTGCTCCAAAACCCAAACATTGACTATATTGGGATCAAATTAGTTAATCGCATAGAAAATGTTTTAAAGAAATATTACAGATGGCATTTTAAAACTGGAAAATACTTTGCTTGTGAGGCATGTATATTGAGATATTAGATATGTATGATCATAATAGTGACAATGTTGATAAGATTAAGAGGCCAATCTTGGTTTGATGACACTGGAGCTGATAAATAAAAATCAGAAAGGGGGAAGTTACTTGCTGAATAAATAACAGAAGTCAATTGGTTTAAGATAGATATAATTAATATATAAAGCAACATGACTAATATACTATAAGCAAATTTGGCCAGACATGAAACCTAAGGTTAGACAAGCATAGGTGATTTATAAATTTTAGAAATGATGATAAATAATAATATTGGATGTTTTGTTTTAAGGCATGTATATGAAAATATCAAATATGTATGAACTACAAGAAGGATTATGCTGAAAAGATTAGATACAGTACATAGTTTACTGTATATAAGAATGGAGATCATCAAGGAATGAACAGGCCTGTGTGGATATTATGGTGGATAAGAAATTTTAAAGAGGAAATGAGGAATGTGTATGAAAAGAGACAGATGGATGGAAATGCAGATGAGAGAATTTAAAGCATTTATTACAAATTTAGGAGGTTAGATACTTAATTAGATGTATAAAATAGCGATGTGGAATATAACATGTGCAGATGCACATGGATATATTATTTCTGTAGTCAGAACTTACATAATAGATAAGCTGGTATGGGAAATACCTCCCCATCTATATGTTTGTCTTGTTAGTCTTGTATGTTTTGTTAGTTTTATGTGTTATTGTTTTGTAGGTATTTATGTTATTGTTTGCTGTAGGTATGTATGTTATAAAAATAATAAAATGTTAAAAAAAGACTTGTTTCGCTTTCAGACTCACAGAAGATAGACGTACAAGGCTTTTCAACGCGATGGTTGAAAGAAACTGAAGAGAGAGTCCTGGCGCCAAGGTACTTAAACCAAGGGGGATGGGTCTATTCTAATGTGTTTTTTTACCACCGCAGAAGCTCTAGAATAGTCCAAAGAGGCTCCATGCAGTTGCAGATCACCCACAGTGCGATTCACAGAGGCCACGAAGAACTAGCTGAAATCAACACTGTAAGACTCTTGCAGCACTTTATTGATATTTCCTAAGAAGTCACCATGTTAGTCTGTCTCAGCATGTTGGGAAAAGTAAACAGGAAAAAAACAGGGCCAAAGACTGTAACATGTTTAAGACTTATCTTAAAAAAAAAAAAAGAAGAAGAATTATCTTTGTGTGAGCAGTTGTGCATCAAAATCCACTTCTTCAAATGCAGAGAGTATTTGTACATTAGTATTTCTGCATATATTTCCTTTTCCCTGGAGTAGCTACAGAATAGAAACTTGGCCAACAAATTCAAGAACCCATGAGGGAGAAAGGGAGAGGGAGAGTCAGTGCTCTTCACAGCACTTTGCATCACACTAAAGGGTTCAGAACCTGATGAAAATTTCTAGTACAAAAAGGTTCTAAATTCAGTATTCTAGTATAAAAATAAATACTTTAGAAGGTTACCTTTATTCTTCCCAACTCAAACTGGAAAACATTAGGGCTTGTAGCCTGTGCAAATACTGCAGGGAATAATTTAGTGCTTGGTTCAACCTAAATAACGAAGAGACAAAAATGTATCACCATTGAAGGTATTTATGAGCATGAAGCAAACATTCTTGAGGATGAAATTTGCAGGAGTTACTGTTTTTGCTTCATGAATACTTTAAAATATTTTTTTTCAATCTTATGTTAGACAAATGTCAACCTAGTAACACTGCTGCTGCTACTGCTACTGCTACTGCTACTGCTACTGCTACTGCTACTGCTACTGCTACTGCTACTGCTACTGCTACT